TGCCTGGCTCCTCACCTGTATTGCTAACGAGGAATAATTCTGACCAGTTCAACAGACTGGACAGAGGCGTTGCTACTACACAGAAGCCACCCGATGTTACCAGCCATGTACAAGGTGGTCCCAATGGCTACAGCTTGTACCGTTAAAGCCAAAACATAAAGGCACAAATACATTTGGCAACGAGGAACTGTGAGGTCAAAACCCAGCTGAGTGCTGCGGCGGTCCTGTGGTCTTGTGTACGAAGGGGAAGGCCTTGCAATCACCTCTCCCATGCTGGCGATGCTTTCCACCATGCTGCCTGGGCGTTGGGTGGGATTCTCCATGGGATAAAACCCTGACTGATCTATCTCTTCACCACTGGAAAAAGAAAAGTCGACAAATTCAGTATTAACTGGCAGAGACAAACGGGAGTGTGTGGGGGGCACAGCAGCAGTGCCGGGCCTCGGAGAGGACGTCACAGGAGGAGACGAGGCCTGCGAGCGAGACGAGCTCTCAGAGGCGAGGTGTGCGAGGGCCGTGGGGGACAGGCAGAGGAAGTGTTGATCCAGGGCCAAGAGAGACGAGTTCTGGAGGGCGAACGGGCTGTCACAGGTGATCAACCTGCCTCTCTCTACCAAGTCCACGTTCTTTTGGAGCCACCCTGCAAGTCCACTTATGTGGCAGTCGCATTTCCAGGGGTTGTTGTCAAGCCAGACCTCTTGGAGCTGGGGTAAGGACATAAAGAAGTCTCCGGGAAGGGACTGCAGCCTGGTACTATTTAGGTAAATTTTCTGAAGTTTGCCGAGATGGTGGAAGAGGTTTCCAGGAAGAACTGCAATCGGGTTGCCATGAAGGGAAATCTCCTGCACGCTCCGAAGGCCCCGGAAGAGGCCGCCTGGCAGATGAGAGATGTTGTTTGTATGCAGGGACAGATTGACCAGGCGCTCGAGACCACTGAACACGTTGCTTGGCAGAACGGTGAGCTTGGGGTTTGAAGTCAGCACCAGGAGCTCCAGATTTGTCAGGTTACTGAAGACATAGTCTGGGAGGGCCGTGAGTTGAGTTTCATATAACCGCAGACTCCGAAGCTGCCTCATTTCTCCAAACAGTATTTCTGGAAGCGATCCCAGTGGATTGCTATGCAAGGACAGAACAGTCAAATTGTTTAAATGCAGAAAAAGCCCGTGAGGCAGGGACTGCAGCTTGTTTCTGGACAGCGATAGTGATTTCAGTTTAAGGAGATGGCGAAAGGCACCAGGGGCGATGGACTGAATATTATTTCTATACAGTTGGAGTTGCACTAGCTCCCCGAGGTTATCGAACACGTCAGCGTCTATTGAAGTCAGCCTGTTCATATACAGAAGCAGCTTCTCCAGCTTGGTTAACTTGCTAAATATATTTCTAGGCAGGACTGACAGAGAGTTTCGGGATAAGCTCAGTAACTTGAGCTTGACAAGGCGCCTCAGCAATCCTTCAGGAAGCTCCGTGAGATTGTTCTTGTTCAAAAATAGCTCTTGCAAATTGACCAGCTTGTCAAACAGACTTCCCTCCACGTGTCTCAGCTGGTTTTCTTCAAGGATCAATTGCTGGAGGTTCGTCATTTGATCAAACACCCCGGGGGGAAGCTGAACTACCTTGTTGTCCAACAGCCTCAGGCTCTTCAGCTTTATCAGGTCTTTAAATGCTCCTGGCGAAATCACAGCGAGCTGGTTTGAAGACAAACTGAGATGCTCCAGAACAGTCATATTGGAGAAAACATCATCCGTCAGGGCTCTTATGCGGGTGTGAGAGAGCTGGATCTCTATCAGGCTGGTCGGCAGACCCAGGGAGGCCAGGCCCGTGAGGACCGCACCGGAGCAGTGGATGGCATTACTGGGAACACACTTGCATTTCTCAGGGCAGAGAAAGGCATCCGACCGAAGGACGATCTGAAGGACTGCCAGTAAAAGAGCAGCCAACATCGTCACGGAAGCGCCTGAAAAATCACCAGGTGTAAGTTAGTGCCAGACAGACAGGGACAGTTGCCTCTCGTGGGGTCCAGGTCAGCACCACGAACACACCCTCGGGGAGCAAATGCAACAAGAAAATCCCACGCTGCTAAATGTTATCACATCCCAAACCAAAGAAAAGCCCCCAGACTCATTTGGTTCCAGGCATTTCTACGGTCCTCATTTCTAGGAGGACAACGGACTTCTCGTTTACATTTTGAACTGCGCTACAGCTCGCATGGTTATGAGTCGCTCACAATAAAGTAGCCAACATTTGTGACCATCGTTACTTTTTTAAAGTGTGAGCTTTTCCAAAGATTAAAATGTGTTTAATTTTACCACAGACAAGAAACAGTCTCTCAGAAATGGCCCAAAAGCTCAGCCACTTCCCCCCAAATCTACAGATAACATTTCTACGATCCTGCCTCAGGCAGGGCTTGGACTAGATGACCTCCCTTCCGGCCCTAGTCCTCTATGACGCGAATCCAGCCGCAAGTCATCTAACAGGAGGAACTTTACAATTCGGTGCGTTAACACAAGAAAACTCGGTGAAAGATCCGGCTCCACCCGTGAAAGAAAAGCGCCAGTGATGAGACGACCCAGCAGGCAGCAAAATCAACCCAGTGATACGGGGTGGGGGGTTCAACTACCCCCGTGTAAAGAGCCAAACATACAAGAGCACCGTGTTCGGCAAAACCATTTCTCAACCTGCAGCGGCTGCTTCTGGGAGCAGAGAACTGCGAAGGCGAGAGGCCATCCTCGACTCCGTCCCGAGGAGCGTGCAGGAGGAGCGCATTTGAAAAAGGCCAGCGGCCAGCTGCTGAGCACCCCCAGCGACCGCAGTCGGTAGCTAGGGTCGGTGTCCTAGGACAGTACATAGCCAAGAGCGACAGCTGACTTGAGAAGGGGAAAATGCCAATCGGCAATGGTTAGTCAAACAGGCCCTAAAGCAAAAACGCAAAGGAAGCCGAATCCTGAGGGGCGGCAGGGAATGCACTTGAGATGCATGCACCGCTTCATGAAAAGCAGCGACCAAGAGGCGTCTGGGGATCAGGCACGGCTGGGGCCGAAACTCACCCCAGACAGAGCTCCTTTGGCACTTTTAAGTCGGACCAGGGCAAAGCCAAGAAGAGGAGTGAGAGTTGCACGAGCTGGCCAGGAAGAGGGAAAGTCAGCAGGGCCAGAAAAGGCCGTCAAGAGCTGGCTCCTCGGGGAACGCGCCGAGGAACAGCCCCTTGTTACTCAGCGGCTGAGCTGCTAGTCTGGACCCGGCAGTCTGCGGGGCCAGGAGAGTCTTTGTGCACATCAGGCCTGGGAAGGCCCCGATAGCGGCTGGAGCAGCAGGGGTTAAAGGGAGCCACCAAGGAAGACAGGGAAGCTGCGGAGAAACAGAAATCATTTCTGTGCCCGCCGTCAGCACCGAGCCCGCAGGGGAGAGTCCTACCGGGGGCTGGCAGAGATGAGGCACTTGGAAACTGGGGAAAGGGAAGAGATGCTGAGGCAAAATGCTTATCCAGAGGGTAGTGGGTCCCCCAGGCCGGGGGAGCTCCCAAGAGCTCTGGAGCCGGCTGAACGTGCACGGCTCGTTAGCGCAGAGCCCAGCCTGGAGGACTGGGAGGCGGCATCTCTCCTTCCTGTTTTAAAGAGGTTTGAGAAGCAGACTCGGGGAGGTACGCACCAGCCAGCCATGCACCTGCTCCTTCCACGGATTGTGACAGAGGAGCCAGGAGGCCCGTTCCATTGCTGCGCACAGTCGGGATGCTTAACGAAGACCTCTGCTCGGTTTGCAGAGGCAGCCAAGATGCTACCATGCAGAGCACAACAGGGACTGCTCAACGCCTCGACATGCATCAGTGGCACAACCTCGAATGGGACTGCGTGCCCGCAGGGTGGTTCACTTCATCCCCCAAAAGCACATTGCAGAACTCAAAGGGCTTCAGAGAAGGGTGATGAGAATGAGCAGGGGTCTGGGGAAGCTTTCCTACGGAGAGAGAGGCTGAAAAGACCACGAGCATTACTTCTGCGAGGGGGGAGATCAGAGCAGACACAATCAGAGGCTGTAAAGTAATGAAAGGTGCAGACAAGGCAGAACAAGAACATCTCTTCTTCTTGCCCCATGACACAAGACCCTCCAAGGGGGGTGGAGAAATCAATGACATTATACATAAGGTGGGAAAATTCAACTCTAATGAAGGAAAGACTTGTTCACATAATGTGCAATTAAGCTGTACCACAGGAAGTCATTAACTAGGACTCAAGAGAGGAATTTATCATGACAAGCTTCTCAAGAATTTCCAGTTGTTATAATTATGACATTTTTCGAAGCAACAATAAACTCCCGGTGTGAGGATTAAGCCAGTTTATAACAGTTAAAGACCCCGGTAATAGCTGTATGAAGGTTACATTTTCTCAGTCTGCCTCTCAATTTGAAGCACCTGGTACCGGTCAGCAGCAGAGATGGGATGCAAGGCTGGATGGATGCGGGGCCGGTCCAGTCTGGCGACTGGGATGTTCACAGTGCACGAGGAGGCCACATGCTCCACACGTTGCCAACAGCTGTACAGACCCCGAGTCTCACAGACCGCGGCTGGAGGCCACATCCGTGGAAAATCAAATGCACAAGATTTAACAGGTTCCTTAATCAATTCTGAATGACCAGCTCATGCACAGTCTATACCCAGCCCTGTCTGAGCGCTAAGAAAAAGCCTTTGAGACTTACCTTAGTGGCTATGCAGCCGCTCCCAGTTGCTTGTGTGTAGAGCAGGGAAGGAAGGACGCCAGCATGCATGATGTTGCATTTTACCCAGGAAGGATGGCAGCGTAACACACCCTCCAGATAACACCTCTCAGCTTCTAGTTCGTCCTTGCATGGCGACTTCAAAGGCTAAAGCTGGATGCAAAAAAGAGAAAGAAATGATCTTGGAGGGCGCTGGCCGCAGCTAGTCACACAAACGCAGCAGTCAGCAGAGGCTCTGAGCCAGGATTGCAGCAACAACCACAGATCACAGAGGGCTGCAGAAAGGGACACCTTCGCTGGGGCAAAGCAAAGGCAGTTCTAGCCAGGGGACGCTGCTCCATGCAAGCCAGAGAAGAGCCAGGATCCTTCCTTCTTCCCACCATGAACGCCGTTCAGAGAGACATGCCCCCAAGGCAGCCTCAATACACAACGGGGTAGTCTGGGCCCAAGAGCAGGGTTCATTTCCCTCTTCCCGGGTTCCTACATTGCAAACCTCTGGGGAAGGACGTCGAGGCTGGGCTGCAGCGCTGGAACCAGGACCTCGGCAGCGCCCGCAGGGACCGGGCGGGCAGCGGGCGTTGCTCTCTATGCTTCAGCGAGGCGCTCGGGTCAGTTCTGACCGTGCAGCAAGAGGCAACGACGAGCAGCTCTTCATGAGAACGCGATAAAACAAAAAAAGCTTTGAGAGGAGGATGGCTTCATTTCCAGTTTTATTTCAAACAGATTCAAATGACAAAAATGATTTTTACAAGGCTATTTACAATGCCTCTGTGCAGGTCTGCGTGTTTGCCGGGTACCATGCTGGAGCAGCCGCGTGTGCTTTTAAATAGAGAGCAGCAGTATCACTTCTGACTTGAACCAGCTTTGTAAAAATAAAAGCCAAACTTCTAGAGAACACACCAATCATAAGCCTTCTCGTTTTTTATTAAATTCATGAAAGTCATTTTGTGCTCACATAATTATCAAACTGCAGTTTGTTGAAAATAGCTGTAAAAACCTGAAGCTATACACTGTATAAAATTAACATTCAAAGACTCTCAAAACTGCCAAAAACAGCCCCTCCCCTCAGGCATACAAAAATCTAATTCTGTAAATGAGAATTTCACACGAGAAATTGTAAAGCACTTCCTAAATCTTGATATTTGTGATGACCAAGAGAAAAGCATTAAAAAAAGTCTGCAGCATCAAAAAGGATCTGCCATGTGTCTAACGTTAGCATTGTATACACATAATTCAGCAAATGGATATTTATCCGATTTGGGATGAACTGTACAGCACAAATCCTCGTGAACACACAGAACAAGAAAGAAAATAAATAGAGTAAGAAACTGCAATAGTTTTCCAACTAAAAGTGCAATGAATATGAACAATCTTGGTTCTGTGGATGATTTAGCCACCTTCACTTAAGCATTATTTGCAGCATATTTTACAGTAGACTTAGTTCTAGAATAGATGCAGATTACAGCGAGCACTAATTATGTCTGAAGGGAGGAAGAAAGCTTTAAAAATAACCCTGAGGGATACGCATTTTAAAGATCTCGGTATTTATTTAAAAAGTTTAAAAAGTTACATTTATTATTTAACAACCGCTTTCCTGGGCAGACCAGTCTTTAAGTAGGTGCATAAATAATATTCAAATCATTAATATTTACATATCCTAATACATCAAAGTAAGACACGTACAGATTTAAATTTAAGTCTGTATAAGAGCAAATAATTTAATAAGAATCAAACTCTTCAATGTGAGGCTGAATTATACAGTAGAAAGAAACCCCCCAAAGTTCATTTAGCGTGGCCCACAAAACAGTCCTGTTCATCTGAATCCAAACATTCAAGGAAAACGTACAAAGACGATTTTAAGCACAGACCCTGAAGCTCAGCCTACTTCCAGTTACGAAATGAACTCGCTAATGTGTCCCGATCTGGTTTGCTCTCTTTTTGCATACCTGAAAAACCACATCGACCGTCCAAAAAGAAACATGGGCACACAGGGCCAAACCCAGCCCTGAGGTAAGAAGGTGCAATTCCCAGTGTCTTCAGTACGAGCTGTACCTGCCGCTGTCACAACCGCACGGGAGCCCTGTGCAACATAACACCTTGCAACACGCTGGTAGTGGATTCTCCCCAGAAGGCAGCTGCCACCCTCCAGAACAACGGGGCCAGTCCAGATGGGAGCAGCTCAGCCACAAAGCAGCAAGCGTCCGCTCCTTCGGCGGGCCTCGCCTACCCGAGGTGTGCTGAGCAGCTGCAATTCCAGCTGAAGTCAAAGGGAACCATCCTGGAGGTTGAGCTTTTAACATCCTCGACTGGACCAGGCAGTCGTTCTGGAGGGGAACAGCTGGACAATGCTGGCCCTAAAGCCCACTCCCTTAATAAGCAGCTTCCTCCCAACGAGCTCGGATACCAGGTTAGAGCGTGAAGCGCTGCTACCACAAACAGAGACTGACTTTAACATCTGAACGAGACGAGCGAGACGGATCCGCAATTTAGGG